CATTCACAGAGAAGATGAAAAATATTAATTATCTTGCATCAACAGCACTGTGTGTTTGGCTTCCTTGCAGTTTACACCAGACATCATCCTCAGTGATTAAAAGCTCTATAGGCTCTAGAATAGCTTTGCATAGGATTGTGCTAATCTGAATCCTTGCAGAAGTTTTTGGTTTAACCAGCATAATTCATTATGCATTTTTAAATGAAACAATGAACAATCTAGAGCCCAGAGGTGTTGATAGCAGAATAAGTACAGAAGTCCGAACTATGCGTTATCTTCTTCTTTTGTCTTTGTGTGGCTTGACGGGTTTCCACTGTAGCATAAAACACATCTTCATCCTGTGAATGAACATCTGTCATTTACAGTCAATAATCAGATGGTCAAATGCATGACATGATTGTCTATAAATCTTTCTAGGGGCATATAAATCTGGTCGCCATTGTGAGTGTTAAGCATCACAATTAAAACAGCCAGCATCTTCTCTCTGATTAAAGAAACACGGCAGATCCAATGGTTCTAAATGTTCTCACTTTATATGTTACCTCAGGCTCATGCACTATTGCTCCAAAGGCATCTCCTATTATCACTATGTTGGTAAGACAAAGCTGTACTTTTCTCTTAACCACCCCAATAGCTTCTCCTACCTCAGTGAATGCTTCACTGAGTGATTGTGCCTTGTCTGTTTTCTGTGTATTATTGTAGGGCTTTTACAATACAATATAAAGCGCTTTGAGGCAACTGTTGTTGTGATTTGGAGCTATATAAATACAATTTAATTTAATGTAACAGAATGGTCATTTTTCGAGGTTAGCTTTTCCTTAAACTTTCTGGCATTATTTTTTTTAGCTACAGTTCACATCTATTTATGTAGGAGTAAATATAAGACTATTTGTTTGAGCTTGTGTCTGTATGCTGGTACATGTTTACTTTATATTTAATGTGCAGTTTTATCCAAACTGTTAAGCACTTTTTTAAACTGCGTGTGTGTTTTAAGATGCAACACAAATGAAGTTATTCTTATTATTTATATTCTTTTTATCGATGAAATAATGAAAATATGTGAATCTATAACACATGAAGTCATTTTTCCTTATTATTGCAGGAAAGGGATAGGACACTGATCATGATGAGTAATTGGTACAGAATATTTACAATACATCAAATCAAATCAAATCAAATCAAATTTTTTATAAGATGTGCAGGTTCCGCATACCATGTGTCAAATTGTACTTGATAAATATGTTATCAAGTGCAATTTCCAAATAGATCAGTATAAATACAAATTCTGCCATTATAAATGCTATATGTAAATTTTAATTATTAGTAGGAGAAGTAGTTATGAAAATACCAAAAATTGAATATGAATGTGATTTACCTGATTTTTTCTTGTTTGCTGACTGGTTTTAGGTCGTTGGTGATCAACTTTTGGTCACAGAAAGAAAGGAATACAACAAAATAATAAACAATAATATCAAACATCAGACAGACTTAAATATAGTATGTAATGTGTGTGAATCTTTACTTGGTGATTAAAATACTTAATACTTAAAATACCAGATTTTGGACAATAATTTGAGATTACAAACTGATGTAGTGAACAGTGATGTAGTGAACTGATGACAGAA